GATAAATCTGTACTTGTATAAAAGCTTTTCATCACTTTTGATGTGATAAACTCTCCATTTGTTGTCCAAATGTCCAGGATATCCTTCTCTTTGATTTCATGTAAAACTCGTCGTTTCCATTCGGAGTATTGATCTTGTATAGCATTTCCATCTATCTGTATATATCCTGAGTTTAACAGCGTATATTCAAGAAGTCCTTGTAATTCAACTCTGCCATAATCAATCATTGTTTGTTTACCTGTTGATACCACTAGGTCGTATAAACGTGAAACATCTAAACAATTTTTCATCAATATAAAAATATATGGTATCTCTCGAAACCGTGTTGTAATTGTTTCAACTAATTGTTGACATAATTCAATCAATTTTTTTCTTGCATGTGTAGTTGAATCTTCTAAATCATAATCACCAGGTCGTATGATGATTGGACGTTGTTTGAATTCACATTTCAATAGATCTTGATAATATTGTTCAATATATTTTGCTGATGGCATCGCTCGAACTTGTGTATCTTCGTCGTCTTCTTCTTGTATATCACAATCGTCATCGATTGTTGGTCCGAGTAAGCCAACTGGTTCCGGTTCTTCACATTCTAACGTAATAAGATAAAAGTGTGTATTCGAAAGGTGGCAATATTTTAGAATCTAAAACAAGAATTTACCTTCCAAACTATCCATTTCTTGTGTTTTATTTAAATCTAATTGTACAAGTAATTTACTATATCCATTTAAACATTTTTGTAAATATCGAATTGAATCATCATGTTCCCACGGGTATTTATTGACTTGCTGCACAGACATAGATGCTCGTACAAGAATATTGTAGATATCATTTAAACCAATAAGTTTACAAACAAAATCCACAGATTTGATATCTTCATGCTAAACCAGAGAATGAAGTGATTCTCACGGAGTAAAAATTCTGATTACAACTTACTTTGTAACTAACATTATCGCTATCACCTGCTTTGTATTCTGTATCAATATTTCGTCTTGTTTTTGCACTTACATTTCCACCTGCTAATGAGTTAATTACACTATCTTGTTCTTGCAAATAATACAGAGTTGACCAATCTCTTAATACTGTTTCGTATACGCGGAGTTCGGATTGAACAAAACGGGTAATATGAAATTGTTTTAGTTGTAGTATTTGTTCTTCGACTAATTCTGCTGCTTCCAGTAGGTGCTCATATGATTTTCCATATGAATATTTTTTCATGATTGTACCACATGTTTTAATGAACCTTTGTAACCAGGAAAATTTACTTTGTTTCTTTGCATCATTTATTGCTAATTCAAGTAAGTGTGCACTATCCCATGACACTGTTAACCATCTCTCTCGCATTCCTAGTTTTTGACATAGATGTTTTTCAATTTGCAAATTAATATAAGCACCATCGACGGCACAACCAGTGAATTGTTCTTGCAATGCATTTTTTTTCAAGCCAAATGATTCTAGTACTCGAACACAATTACTAGCTAAGTCTTCCCCCGTTAACTCTGTTTGACATAATGGAGACTGAAGATAAAGAGGTGTTAACTGTCCGTCAATCATTACGATCATAATTGTCACCTGCATCGACCTTTTTAATAATGTAACTTTATCCAATGTTATGCCGAACGGTCGACGACGTTGTGTAACAGGATCAACCGAATGTAAATATTCACTAATTCTGTTTTTCATCGTTATTGTCATCGACGTTCTTAGTTTCTCGAAAAACCATCGACTGTGTCTAAACATATATGCAAATAATAAGGTCTAGCATGACACTGACAGATTTATCTCTGGTAAAATAGTTTTATCTACCTGTAAGTTCCAACTGATGCTCCAGAGATATCCAATAAGTTCAATGTATCAACAAATTTCAGACCACCAAGACCACCTTGAATGCAGAATAACGCTGCTCGACCAACATTCCATCCAGCTTTCTCATTTTTTCTTAAAAAATCGTCGAATAATTGCTTTCGTTTCTCATCTTCTTCTACACACCAGATGTGTAGTTTGTTTAAATAATGATGTCTTAAAGCTTTTTTTAAATTTCGAAAACGTTCAGATTGAACTCGAGTCGCGTCTTGTTCAACGTATTCAAATGAGCCAAACGAAGATTTAATAGTACTTAATAAATGTTTTGGTGCATGTTTTTTAAACTTTAAACATGGTATACACGTAATAGTATCCAGTTGATTATTTATTTCCATATGCTTCAATGAATATAACTCATTCGTACATTTGATACTTTCAAATAGTTGTTCAATATCATCCGATTGTGGAATTGACGATACATGCCTTTTTGCTTTGTCCGAATTCATTTGTTCTATCGTCTCTGATAATTTTGTCAGCTGCTTCGACATCGATAGTAATTGGTCGTGAACGGAATAGATCGTCGGACTCGTCAAAACAACATCAGAAGGCATAGGTGAGGGATCCGAATGAATGAGTGATGGACGTGAGGGTGAAATGATGATAGAAGATTGTTGTTCTTGTTCCTGGTCGTCATTACTGATGGTATCTATAACTGTTTCTCTTCCTTGAGTTTTTTTTTGAAAAAATTTTTCCATATTGTTTTCTGCAAGCTTCAGTTTGAACGTTTTACCAGCATGATTTCTTGTACAATGGTCCTTCGCTTTATCTTTACGACCATTCCAATCACAATAAAAACACGATACTTGTTCTTTACTAGGAAACATTTCTACTGCTCAAAATCGTAACAATCTAGTGATCTAAAGTCAAAGAGTAAATACGAAGCATGACAGAGTAGTGATATGACAAGAAAGAAAAGTAGAAAGAATACCAAGAAGCAAGATAGTCACTATGACTAAATACGCAACAAGCAAATCAGAGAAAGTGTCTAGTAACCTTGTGTGATTACTCTCTCACCATTACATCATCAATATCAGAACAAAACAACAAATGAAGCATCATACCAGAAGAGCAGAGAGCGAAATATATCTCATACACATACCACTCACATGCACTCACGCGCGCGGAGCAACAAAACAGAACATATGGAACTGAGAGAAAGAGAAAAACGAAGCATGAGGAAAGAGAAACAGGACAAAAAGAAAGAAATAGTTAATAACACAAAGGCAAGAAGCTCATAGGTAGAGGCATTACAGCTTGTGATTTTTTTCATATGGGAAAAAGTTATTTTTTCGAAACATTTCCAGGCTCAAAAATTTTCAAAAATTTCCCCAGATCTAAAAAATTTCCCCCACCGCGCGGTGCCGCACACGGGTAGATTCTGCACCTCTGCTCATATATTTGTATAACGTTGACATAAATTTAAAAAATGATATGCTCATTTACCAAATGTTTCACTGAAATGTGAAGATCTTGATGGTGTTTTATATTTTAAAGAAATGATTTTCTAATGTAACTAAAAACTGTTTCAACACTAATTAGTAATATTCGTGGAGTATTGAAAAATGAATATAATCTTTTGCCTTTCATTTCTTTACTTCTATCATCCATTGATGTTCAACAAGGATGGAATCTGAAAAAAAGTAAAACGTATAATCTATCTTTTTTTTAATAAAATAATAAATAGAATGGAAACACTACCGAATGAAACTCTTCTTCGTATCTTTTCTTATCTAACATGATTCGATATATTAACATCTTCTTGGCCATTAAATATTTGGTTCAATTCTCTTGTGTGTTCAGCTCTTTCAATAAGTGACAATTTATTAAATACTGATCTTCTTATTAAACAAAGTTTATATTATAACAAATTTACTTCAATATTATTTTCATTGATTTTAAATTCATCATCTCTTTCTTCTTCTATTCAACATATTCATTTTGATGGAACGAATTCAATTGCTTGTAATCTTAGTGATGAATTGTTGTTTAATGATAAAAAAATTCTTCGTTTTCCTAATCTTAAATCACTTATTCTTACTCAATGTATATCAATTAAATTAGTAGTTCTAAGTTTATCTTATCTTATTGAACATCAATTCGATGAACTTACATTAACATTTGATCAGCAGGTGTTCAAACGGGTTTTTTATGGAAACAGACATTCGTCAATGGCTTCTGATATAGGTAATCAATCGTTTATTTGATAGATTCTCTCAAAAATAAAACGAGATTCATCTATTTTGAATAGATCATCCTTGATTTAGATCATTTACATTCCATATAAATCCATCCACCGAAAAAATCAGCGTGAAAATGTCGCTTTCGAATTTATCTAGTTAGAATTTTAGCTTCCAAAGAGAAAACATCACACTCATCTCTTCTGCTTTCATATCCAGTCTATGTCTGAGAAGAAATCAATGAAACACTTAATACTTATTAGAATCGCTTAGGAACGTATGTGCAAAGAATCTATTCATGTAGAAAGCATAAATGGTGGTAGTATGATAGCTCCAGTTAAGAAGAAAAAAAGATCTTCTTAGAACTTATAATTAGTTGCTTATATATATACATATTATATAAGCGATACTTATCTTAATATGTTAAATTCGATCTCTATGGGCGGTGAGCATTTCTAGATTTTATTATCTTCATAATAAATATTTGTGTTTAAGAATATGTTGAAATCTATCATCATAATCGAATAACTGGACATCTTCAGAAAGAGTTAATTTGTGCTACAAAATAGAAATTGATTTTATTATTTTAACACAAAAGAAAACTTCCGAGATGATAAGTCACTTCTTAGATGAGTTGTCTCATCAAATAGAATCTATTGAAACAAGGAAAAATCTAAACTGATTCGTATTCATAATGCTTTATTGCTAACTTATGAATCAATATGTACGGGACTGGATCAGAACCGAAGCAATGAGGAAAAAAAGTTGTTCGAACCGAAACCATAGATTGTAGTCAGTTGATCTATGGTTTTGAGCGAATTATAATATAAATCATACCGATCAATATACGAACAGATTCTCAAACAGGTTCCTTTATATTGACTGAGACTCAAAATTTGAGCCGACAACTGAAAAACTAAAATGACGAGGACCGAATCCAGACCAGATTTACCAGACCTATGACTAACACTATCAAGAAGGAAGTAACCAAAATCGCAACCAAAAAACTTTATCTCACACAGTTCTGCTTGTGTCCATATTACTGGACTTTGAATGAGTGGCAGAATCTACAAGCAAATACTCTTAAATTGATGCGATGTTGCTTGCAATGCATGAAAATTTTCAAGCAAAATAAACGGTTTCCTCCCATGATATTAACTTCTCCTGCAATTTATACCTTTTGAGATGTCTTATAAGTTGGCATGTGAGTGCTCCTCTTTTTTTCCTAAGTATATCCTCCTTTTTGCTCGTATCTCCTTCTTTTCCTCCTTTGTGTAACTTAAGCTGAAGAATCATTAGATTTTTAAATGTTTGAAACTTGAAAACATTTTTGAATAACTATTTTTTCGTCTAATGTCTTTTATACTACAAAATTTAGCACTCTGTGATTAAGAAAAGTAGATTTAGAAAGTATTCCTATCAAAATGAAGGTGATAATTCGTTTACAAAATATGTAAAAGCGATGATTTGTGTTGTAGACATGAAGACTGACAGTCCGTTGAACTTCATATGAACAATAAAAAAACGTCGTGATCATTTTCAATTGTTAAAAGAAAATGATATATTTATTGTTCGAACTGAACCAACTCTTACTCAGTCACAAGGAGGTTCTTCATCATCAACTATTCCCATAGTGCTTTCTGCTCAAACGGTTTACTGTGGAATCAACAATCAGAATTCGGACAATATTGCCGAGTTTCCAGCACTATTTGGATTCCTTCGGGATTTCAACAATAACAAAATTAATGTGGTATTTTATGGTCCAGGATTCGACCTATCAAATACCACATGAAGTTTGTTACTATTGGGTGTGGGTGTGGGTTTCTCTTCATCAACACTCACACCCAAACCCGCCCACATCCACACCCACACTCGAGCACTACATGACAATTCCAAATGAAAGGAATAAAATGATCATATGTGATTTCACATGGTCATGGATTATTTTTTCATCGTGATCTTGTCCAAGACATTAAACAAGTGCAACAAGTTGTATTATGTTTCAATGAACAGATGAACCATCACAACAATAAACAATTAAATTCATAATTCCTCTTTGTCTTGAAAAATTTGAGAGACTGAAATAGAGCAGAAAACCGTACATGTTTTAAAATTGACGTGAAAGCTACTCCTGTCCATCCTCTCCTCAGCTTTCTTCTGACCAAGGGTGTGGGTGCGGATGTGGGCATAGGTGTGGATTTAACTGACACCCACACCCTGCATTGGCTTGTTTAGCAACACAAATAATATCATCGAATGAAATTTGATTTCAATCAAGACCAAATGTAATATTATCACAAATTGAACATGTACATAAAGATGGTTCTTGGTTAACAAATGATATATTTTGTCGAAGCCATTGTGAATTAATCGATGCAAGTGAATATGAACCAAAATAGATTGTACCCGAATCAAATTCATAAAATCGTTCGATAAGTGATGCTATAGTACTTTTACCACTACCTGATGGTCCAACTAATGCAAGTTTTTGACCAAGTGCAATTGAAAAGGAAACATTAGTAAGTATTTGTTGTTCAGATCGAGTTGGATATGCAAATGAAACATTATCGAAATGAATACTTCCATCAAAATTAGTTGGTTCAATAGAACAACTTTCATTGAATGTTGAAGGAATTTTCGGTTGACGATCAAGTAAATCAAATATTCTTTTACTTGCACCAACTATTTGCATAAATTCTAGAGAATAAATTGAGAAAATAAGAGATTATCTAATATATATTTTGTTTTATTGCATCATTGAATATTCAACGCCATAGAGTGAAGCAAGATAAGCAAAAGCAACAGCAACTTGTATTAAATACAAAAAGAAATGATGATAGAACATCAGTTGATAGTTTTTTATCATGAACTAATTTGGTACCATACCTAAAATTAGAAATCATTATATGATAATATATAGATAATTGACATAAGTGTGAACTAAAATGCCAAGTGTTACAACTGACGAGATTATTTGTTGGTTTTTTTTAAGTCGAACTTCGAGAAAAACTTCATCGGATAAGTAGATTTCTAAGTTCGACAATGTCAAGGCAAATATTAGATACATTTTCTTATGTTCGAAAAACTCTCAGACTTTATTTACATAACATCAAAGTCTTTAAAAAAAAGATCTGAGTATATATCAACATACAGAACGTCCGAATCGTTTTTCTTTCATGTTATCAAATATGTTTTATAGTTTAAAAACAAAGCAATAAAATAGATCATTTTCTCTAAGATTACTAGTTTTCTTCTCAAATGGTTCATCAAATAGCCATGAATTAAAAAAAGAACAAATACAATTGATAAAATCAATTCCAAAGAAAATATCAATATAGTAACATTGACAGAATGCATACATAGATTCATGTTTAAGAGCAAAAGCAATAATTTGACCGAAAAGAATAACATCAACAATATTGATAGCACTTGCAATGAAGAAAAAGAAAGTACCAATTATCATCAATAATCGTTCTTCTTTTGCTATGAAAAATACACGTCATATATCGACTTGTTTTTCTTGTTGATTTTGTTCATGTTGTTGTTCAACTAATTTCAATCGATTCAAATACGGAAATATCAATAAAAGAAAGATAAGGTTTACTTAATTGAAAGTGCTGATGAAAAATAAGAACAAATTTAATAATGGCAAAAGTCAATGAACCGATAGTTATCAATAAGAGAGCAATGGTAAATAGATATCCATTGAAAGGAAATGAAGAACGATCTATTGGTCTGTAGAAACGAAGAATCACGAGTGTTTCAAATTCAGTCAGTGGAATAATGAGAAGAATAAGTTTAGACAATGAAATAATCACAAGATTAAAGATAGATGTAGACAGATGAAAGTGAATGATATCATCGATGAGTAAATCAGCAGTTCGACTACCTGAAACTCGGAAGAAACAGATGATATTTGTCATAGTATTTTAATGATTAGACAAGAAGTACCTGCAAGCCCAATGATTAGTAATAAGAAAAATTCTAGAAAAACAAGTTCACGACGAATATTAGTGAGACGAAAACGAGAGATCGATGGAATAAGAATAGTACTATGAACGGACGAATTTGAATTGTTGATGCTAGTGTTTTGAGCATTATCATCCAATGGCAAAAGATTTTCATCTTCGGTCAATGTTATATCAATAATTGGTGCATCATCAATACTATGCGAAATTATATTGATAAGTGTTTAGAAGAAGCAGTAGATGGATGATGAAAACCATGTTGACAAACACTTTGATTGCGTTAATATTAATGAATAAGCAAATTTCTTTTTTTTTCGAAGGAAGGTATCAACTAATTTAGAAAAGAAACAAGATCATCCGTTGATTGCTTGATTTGCTCAGTCAATCAGGAAACAGCATACGCTCTACTAATGGAGATCAACTAGTGAAGGAGAACACACTTTCAGTCTCAGTAGTCAATATAAAATTTTGTTTGGTTAACGAAAGTGGACCATCAAGAATTGAACTCTTTTACGTTTCCATTATACACTGGTATTCTTAATTAATTAATCCATGTATGAATCATATTCGAGTCTCTGAGCGAACACCAGAGTGAAACATATATATTGATCTACTTGCTGATGTCATTTTGAGTGTGGGTGTGGCTTTATATGAAATACAGATCCACACTCACATCTCTGGAACAAGTTTTGTTTTTTAATCGCTATTTTCAATAATACTGATTTCATAAAAAGGACAAATGAGACTTTAAAAAGGATGAATTTCAGTCAATGTTGATGTGCAATAGCAGTTAAAATAAACATTGGTTGGACTGAGTCGGTGTGGGTGTTGATGAAGAGATGACTAACACTCACACCCATCCTCTCATCAAATTACAAAATCATGAGAATCTTGTGTTGTCTGATGTTAAATGATGCTGACTCTTTTAAATGTAGCACATAATCTAAAATATAGCAAATCAAAAAGGAAACTCTTCAACCATAATTATTCTTTTGGTAAAAATGTTAAATATGCAGTAATTCTATATATTCTTATTACTTATGTTGAAAGGTATTTCAGTACAGGTCATGTAATTATTCTATCAATAGAATCATTGTCTTAATTCCAAATCATCTTGAGGGTGATATGATTCAAAAAAACAGGCAGACATATACATTTTCTATATTTTCTTTTTTGCTACGCTTTTCTTTTCATTTACGATAGACATAAAAATACGACAACATTGCAATCAAAAAACGAGATCATCTAAAATTTCACAAAATTAGGTAAATATGACTCTTGTCGTCAGATTGATTCATATTATTGGAAAGAAAAAGAAAATATCCTTTTCCTGTTCATTACAAATGAGTATATTCGAGGTTCATGTATGTTGTCAGTATGTGCATGTCTCTATTGATATTTGTTTTAAATATCATCATGATACACTAAACAGGAGAGAAGGTAGTTTCTTATTCTTTTTGTGCAAATAAATTGTAATTATATCAAAGATCTACTATACGTTTAGATAATTTTTTCCAGCATCTTTTTTTTTTCACATTTTCACTAAAAATGAAATAAAAAAATAATTCTGAACTAAAAGTTCGTCTTGCTTAATAGACAGAAGACAATTTGTAAGCTTCGTATTCGATATAAATGACATATCTCAGTATTCCCTATAGTGTTCCAAAATAAAGACGACTTTTTTATTTGAAAATTCTTAACAAATAGAATATTTAATGTGAATAGAAAAACAAATCGATTTATTTTTTAAAAGTTTGTTTATATATTCTTTACTTATGTAAGTATTCTTTTTTTTTATTGTAATTATAATTTCTATGAAAAACTAATATCGTATAAGAAAATGATTAGTTGCATGTTAATGAGGAATATTTTTATTACTATGTTGTTTATCGAACGATTTTAAACTCATTAACAATTTTTCAAATATTCTATTAAAATATTTTGACTGATTGCTTTGAAAGAAATAGATTATATTACTAATATTGATATTCTACAGATTTTATCATATATTTTGTATTTCTTGAAAGGTAGAAGAACAGAATTATCATTTAAAGAATTTCATTTGTTGCTAAAAGATTAATAAATCAAAATGAAATATATCTCGTATAAGTTTACTAGATATTTAACTTTTGAAAGAAGTAAATATATGATTGATTTCTTAATTAGATACGTGATAGTTTTAGTTTAGCTTGTGAATTTTAATGAGGTTGCATTAATTTGCATTGAAATTGTTGATCAACTCATATGAAGCGATATGAACGTATTCAAATTCAGAATTGTTCATGATTTAACTATTAACAGCAGTGTTGAACAACTCAAATTACTGATTGATTAGTTGTGTTTATTTTAGACTTTCATACACTTATTCTCAATACATTGAACCTGTAAAATAGAAAAATAAAGACTGTCAATAATTGTTATTGTTTCACTATTTCATAGTAAAATACGATCTTATTTTGCACAATTTATATAGAAAGTTAGATTGAATAGAATTGCACTGCTGTTGTATTCATAGAAAGATTTTTGAAGAGAAAAAAAAAGCTGTTTTCAAAGAGAATTTGTATGAAATCATATTCTGAATTTGTCCCAAAGAAATTACCAAATGAAGTTCTTCTTATTATATTTTCTTATTTATCATGATTCGAAATGTTAACTTTTTGGTCATTAAATAATTGCATAAATAAACTTATTTGTTCAATTATTTCAATAAATGATAATCGAAAAAATAATGGTATTATTATTAAAAACTCAGGTTTATCTTATAACAAATATTATTTAAGATTATTACCATTTCTTAATCATTCATCATTATTATCATTTTGTTCTGGCATCTGACATATCTGTTTTGATGGAAAAAATTCAATGGCGTGTGATATTAATTATGAATGGATTTTTTTTCAAAATAATAATAAAAAAAATGCTTCGTTTTCCTTTCTTTTAAATCACTTGTTCTCCCGCGATGGTGGCTGTGTGAACCATTAATTCAAATTTTATCTTTACTTATTGAACATCAATTAGCTGAATTTACTTTAATATTCGATAAGGATGTGTTCAATGCTCTTCGATATAATTAAGAATTCTTTTAATTGATTTATAAAAGAGAGAAAACATAGAATGAAAGCTAATATACGAAAGATATCTGATCAAGTAAAATTAGACAAGTTCGATGAAAATCTAATAATTATAGAATTAGATTATATGTATGTTGTACTATTATACAAAATTATATGATAAAATCTACTTGAAAGAGAAAGGGCAAAATTTTAGTTGGCTGTATTTGGAATGAAAAATTTCTATACGAAACTCAGACTTTTTTTTATGATGTTAAACTTATTTAATTAATGTTGTATAAAGATATAGAGGTATATAAAAATGGAAGAATAATAGAGGAAGTATGTATCCATCGGAGATATAGTTATGCATAACTGTATATTGATGTGTAATAGTAAAGGATGTACAAAAGAAACAAGGTAATAATTATATGTATTTAGATTACAGTGAATTAGTTAAATCAGATATAAGTAGACATTACAATACAGGTGTAAATATATAGTCCTACTGAGAATATAGGCGCAAAAATCTATGTCTACGAATGTAGATCTGTGAATATAGATATAAAGATATTGCTGTAAGGATACAGACATAATACTATAGAAATTAGGTTATATATTTTATGCTGAAAAGTTTACATATGTATGTCTAAAGACATAGTTTTACTGAATAA